GCCCGGTGTCCGCGGGTAGGCTGCCTCGCTGGATACTGCTGAGAGGCAGGGCAGGGGCGGGGAGACGGAGCCAGGAGAGACAGAGAGAAAGCTGAAGGCTGTGGGCCAGGGAGCTCACGTCCGCCTGCCACCAGCCTGGCCTGGCCACAGCCCCAGGGCTGCGCAAGGAGAGAGCCCGGCAGCCCCGCAGCCCGGCTGCCTGCGGCTCACTGCCCCACTGCTCTGCCCCCCGGCCCCAGGCAGGGGAAGGGGGCTCCATGGCTCCGTGGGACACAGGGCAAAGGCCAGGGGTGCTAAGGGGAGCCCCAGCACAGCCTGTCCGGGCTCATGGCCCGTGCGCAGGGCAGGAGTGCTCACCCCGGCGCCCTCTCCCCCTGCTCGCGTCGAGACCGGCCCCCTGCGCCAGAGCCAGGAGGGGCCAGCATGAGCCGGGCGGCTGGCACGAGGGGCACTGGGGGTTGCTGGGCTGGACTTGTCCCCTTCCCCAGAGCAGAGAGCATGACAGACACCTGCCCTTGCCCACCCTCAGGCAGGGAATGGGGCACCCTGCCAGGCCTGCAGCCCCCAGCATGGGGCCAGGGGAACCGGGGGACACACACCGCACTGCAACAGACTTGGGGGCATGAGCCCCACAACTTACACGTTCCCCCTCCAGGCCTCTGCTCCCAGGAGAGCCAGGAGGACCCTAGGGAGAAGGAGGAGGGAGTGAATGGCCCTGGTCTGGCAAGCTCGGCGCCTCGGAGACAGCCCGCCCCACAGGCCAGAGCCCAACCCCTCATGCCTGTTTGTCTGGCAAAGCATCTGGATTTGGGGAGAACCCGGGGCCCTGGGAGCCCGAGGAGGGTCGCGGGGAGGAGCCCGGGGCCCTGGGAGCCCGAGGAGGGTCGCGGGGAGGAGCCCGGGGCCCTGGGAGCCCGAGGAGGGTCGCGGGGAGGAGCCCGGGGCCCTGGGAGCCCGAGGAGGGTCGCGGGGAGGAGCCCGGGGCCCTGGGAGCCCGAGGAGGGTCGCGGGGAGGAGCCCGGGGCCCTGGGAGCCCGAGGAGGGTCGCGGGGAGGAGCCCGGGGCCCTGGGAGCCCGAGGAGGGTCGCGGGGAGGAGCCCGGGGCCCTGGGAGCCCGAGGAGGGTCGCGGGGAGGAGCCCGGGGCCCTGGGAGCCCGAGGAGGGTCGCGGGGAGGAGCCCGGGGCCCTGGGAGCCCGAGGAGGGTCGCGGGGAGGAGCCCGGGGCCCTGGGAGCCCGAGGAGGGTCGCGGGGAGGAGCCCGGGGCCCTGGGAGCCCGAGGAGGGTCGCGGGGAGGAGCCCGGGGCCCTGGGAGCCCGAGGAGGGTCGCGGGGAGGGGCCCGGGGCCCTGGGAGCCCGAGGAGGGTCGCGGGGAGGAGCCCGGGGCCCTGGGAGCCCGAGGAGGGTCGCGGGGAGGAGCCCGGGGCCCTGGGAGCCCGAGGAGGGTCGCGGGGAGGAGCCCGGGGCCCTGGGAGCCCGAGGAGGGTCGCGGGGAGGAGCCCGGGGCCCTGGGAGCCCGAGGAGGGTCGCGGGGAGGAGCCCGGGGCCCTGGGAGCCCGAGGAGGGTCGCGGGGAGGAGCCCGGGGCCCTGGGAGCCCGAGGAGGGTCGCGGGGAGGGGCCCGGGGCCCTGGGAGCCCGAGGAGGGTCGCGGGGAGGAGCCCGGGGCCCTGGGAGCCCGAGGAGGGTCGCGGGGAGGAGCCCGGGGCCCTGGGAGCCCGAGGAGGGTCGCGGGGAGGAGCCCGGGGCCCTGGGAGCCCGAGGAGGGTCGCGGGGAGGAGCCCGGGGCCCTGGGAGCCCGAGGAGGGTCGCGGGGAGGAGCCCGGGGCCCTGGGAGCCCGAGGAGGGTCGCGGGGAGGAGCCCGGGGCCCTGGGAGCCCGAGGAGGGTCGCGGGGAGGGGCCCGGGGCCCTGGGAGCCCGAGGAGGGTCGCGGGGAGGAGCCCGGGGCCCTGGGAGCCCGAGGAGGGTCGCGGGGAGGAGCCCGGGGCCCTGGGAGCCCGAGGAGGGTCGCGGGGAGGAGCCCGGGGCCCTGGGAGCCCGAGGAGGGTCGCGGGGAGGAGCCCGGGGCCCTGGGAGCCCGAGGAGGGTCGCGGGGAGGAGCCCGGGGCCCTGGGAGCCCGAGGAGGGTCGCGGGGAGGAGCCCGGGGCCCTGGGAGCCCGAGGAGGGTCGCGGGGAGGGGCCCGGGGCCCTGGGAGCCCGAGGAGGGTCGCGGGGAGGAGCCCGGGGCCCTGGGAGCCCGAGGAGGGTCGCGGGGAGGAGCCCGGGGCCCTGGGAGCCCGAGGAGGGTCGCGGGGAGGAGCCCGGGGCCCTGGGAGCCCGAGGAGGGTCGCGGGGAGGAGCCCGGGGCCCTGGGAGCCCGAGGAGGGTCGCGGGGAGGAGCCCGGGGCCCTGGGAGCCCGAGGAGGGTCGCGGGGAGGAGCCCGGGGCCCTGGGAGCCCGAGGAGGGTCGCGGGGAGGGGCCCGGGGCCCTGGGAGCCCGAGGAGGGTCGCGGGGAGGAGCCCGGGGCCCTGGGAGCCCGAGGAGGGTCGCGGGGAGGAGCCCGGGGCCCTGGGAGCCCGAGGAGGGTCGCGGGGAGGAGCCCGGGGCCCTGGGAGCCCGAGGAGGGTCGCGGGGAGGAGCCCGGGGCCCTGGGAGCCCGAGGAGGGTCGCGGGGAGGAGCCCGGGGCCCTGGGAGCCCGAGGAGGGTCGCGGGGAGGAGCCCGGGGCCCTGGGAGCCCGAGGAGGGTCGCGGGGAGGGGCCCGGGGCCCTGGGAGCCCGAGGAGGGTCGCGGGGAGGAGCCCGGGGCCCTGGGAGCCCGAGGAGGGTCGCGGGGAGGAGCCCGGGGCCCTGGGAGCCCGAGGAGGGTCGCGGGGAGGAGCCCGGGGCCCTGGGAGCCCGAGGAGGGTCGCGGGGAGGAGCCCGGGGCCCTGGGAGCCCGAGGAGGGTCGCGGGGAGGAGCCCGGGGCCCTGGGAGCCCGAGGAGGGTCGCGGGGAGGAGCCCGGGGCCCTGGGAGCCCGAGGAGGGTCGCGGGGAGGGGCCCGGGGCCCTGGGAGCCCGAGGAGGGTCGCGGGGAGGAGCCCGGGGCCCTGGGAGCCCGAGGTGGGTAGACGCAGCCCCTGCCCCTGCAGAGCAGAGCTGCGCATGCGCATGCGCATGCGGATGCGGATCCCTGCGGCTCTAGCGCGGCTGGGAGGGGTCCTGGCCGGGGG